GTATAGGTGGTGGTGCTTTGGTCGTAACGTTGCTGGGTGAGCGGTATAGGTGGTGGTGCTTTGGTCGTAACGTTGCTGGGTGAGCGGTATAGGTGGTGGTAGTTTGATCGTAACGTTGCTGGGTGAGCGGTATAGGTGGTGGTAGTTTGATCGTAACGTTGCTGGATGAGCGGACTTGTGCATACGTCACCATATGATGTCAGTACGTCACCACCCAATGATGTCAGTACGTCACCACCCATGATGTCAGTACGTCTGGCACTCGCTACAAACTCGCAGTGTCATTAACTTAACATTCTCAAATATATTGTATACATCCTTGTCGTGCCTTACCCTGTAATCCTATCTATAAATAATTACTACTAAGGAAGTACACGTCTCATATATCATTCATTCCTGAGATGTTGTTATTCAGACATTTACTGAAACTCAGACCCTCAGGAAAGAATTATATTAAATTACGATACGAATTGATTAATCTATCAATCTAATTACCAGGTCGTCGGTGAAAAGACCTGACAGTGTAGGTGGTTCCTCCCGATTTATAACTAATTAAGATTCAAATGTGGTATTTGTTGAAAGGTTATTTCATATGATCCTCGAAGCATCCGAGAGAGCATTCTTACTATCAGAAGAAAATGTTTTATGGCAAATGATACTCATTTATTTTGTATAAAATCATCGCCATCATAAATTTTTCTTTAACTAGTGAATATCAATAAAAAGTTTTGACCAACTCATCTAAGATATTTCAAATTTAATCGCATCAAACTGATCAATGTTACATTTTATTTGCGCATAGGTATTTTATCTATGGCTGAAAAACTAGTGACCCTGACAGCAATGACCTGCATCGTGCTGAGCTAAGCCATTTGCATGACTTATGCAATCACCCGAGCTGTTTCCTAGACTGAAAAAAAACAGTCATGAATACTGAAGACGAAGAGCGTGAACCACTCCCCTATTAGCATATACTCAAAACACCCTAACAAAAGACGCCATACGCAAGTTGGCTTCTATTGCAAGGATCGAGATGAAATAGACTGAAAATTTCAAGCAACGATTGGCGTGGATTATGAAGAGGTGAAATTGACTGAAAATTTCAAGCAATGATTGGCGTGGATTATGAATTTGCTTGCATTGAATCTCTGATGTGTTTGGTTGATGCACTCTTGCCAGTTGTACTCGTCAATTCAAGGTTAATAAAAAGAACTTCATATAAATGTACCTACTTCTGATGAGACTGCGAATCAGGGCTTCATTACTGTGCAAGAAATTTGTAAGCCTGTTTTTTTTAACAAAATGTTGTGTTAAACACATCAACGTATCATTTATGCCGAAGTACACTAATCACAAAGTACAATTTTCTCCTTATTTTTCGCGGCAGTACTTTCATAAGGAAATGCCTATCAATCGATTTTCTATTGCCAAGAGTTTTCATCATCATAACTATTAATTTAAAATATTAGACTTCCATTGAAGTTTTTATCTACGCAAACTCTGCTTTTCCATTAAATAATCGAATAGAGATCTATATGTCACAAATACTGTAAAATAAAAAATGTCCGTACGGAATTTTTTTGCCGCACTTTCTTACGCTCATTGAATCGTATCCAATTTTATTCGAATGCTCTTCGTCCCGGAGTTTTTCTTGGGAAGCGACACCCTCTTATCCTGTGGAAAGGCTGAAAATTCATTATAAAATACGAATATTTATCTTTTATGATGGTTTCCCCTCCTCATCTCCTCATTATGCATTCATTTCTCATCTCCCCTTGCATGTTAATAACTCTAGCGTATTACTTCCTATCTCCATGATAACTTTGATCGCAATACAGAAGTGTTTACTAAAGAACTGAATTTTTTTTACAAATATAGTAAATTGAAAAGTATTATTCGAAGTGTGTGATTAATCATAGAAATTCTATCCTTAAAATTGAAACTCTAAAGGTTTCATTTCATATTTTCTCATGACACTTGTAATCCCGTCTCCATTGAAAAGGTTTAGGATAACTAAATATCACCACACTGCTTAAAAACAATCTAATTAACATATTTTGATTTTATTTTTGGTTTTCATGAATTGAATAAACTATTATCAGATATAGGCAGTCAAACTCACGCTTATACCTTTTCCAAGATGAAAAAATCTAAACCTCTTGCCGTGTAATTCTTACGAACGTGTAAAGAGTAACAACACAAAACTTTCCTTCAGATATCTGCCATCGAGTCAACATCGTTGCCGTATTTCCGAAGTCCGACCAGAACCTTAGCAAAGGCCGTCAGTTAATCTTAATCCGAGTAATCCAGCCGCTTACTGCATTATACGCACCATTGCCTTCAGTAAATCCGGTGATGGGAGAGTGGAAGTGAGACTCGGAAGTGGTGGAGGAGACAATGAGACTCAGAAGTGGTGGAGAACACAGTGAGAATCGGAAGTGGTGGAGGAGACAGTGAGACTCAGAAGTGGTGGAGAACACAGTGAGAATCGGAAATGGTGGAGGAGACAGTGAGACTCAGAAGTGGTGGAGGAGACAGTGAGACTCGGAAGTGGTGGAGGAGACAGTGAGACTCGGAAGTGGTGGAGGAGACAGTGAGACTCGGAAGTGGTGGAGGAGACAGTGAGACTCGGAAGTGGTGTTAGAAGTTGCGAGACTCGAAAGTCTAGTGTTGGAATATAGACTTGGAAATAGCAGAGGTGGTTAGGCTCGGATGTTGGTGAGGTGAAATATGTTAATGATTTACACTATAATGAGCATCACAAATAGGTGACTAAAAACATTTTACAAAGATAAAACATCACTCACCAGCAGGCGCCAGTAGTAAGAGGACTGCTAAGACTCCTGCAGATCGTAGCAGCGGCAAACATTTTCTGTTTTGTCGGTGCATTCTGTCCATTGTGTTGCGCATGGCAAATTCAGCGGTTCGTTTGAGCTTTATTCATCTTGAAAACTCTAACAATTCAACAGTTATTTGATTACACTTCTCTCTATATGTTGCTTTATTCGTTCAGGATTGATTTTCCATATCTATATTTATGTTTCCATTCTTTGTCACTGATTCATTTCACTGAAACACATTGTTCATGAACATTCATTTCACTGAAACACAAACAGACACGCGACAAGTTCGAGAACTGAATCGCTTGATATTATTTCCAACTTAATCTATTTTCTCTCTTGTTTTGTTCTCTCTCAAATATTAAACGCTTTTCTACACTTGATACACATCTCAGAATTTAATTCATGGTTACATTATATGTTAATAGGTGGCTAATAATATGAAATGGAAATAGTAGATATATTATAATTAAAATGATTTAACTATTTAGCTTTATTTATGTAGAATTTATTTACTACCATTCCAACTATACTAATTTTTAAAGTACTCCTTAAATTTTCCATTTTCATTAATTCTACTGCAACTTAAACTACATTTTAATATTTTTATATATGCGTGGATTTCTATACAGTATATATCAAGCCTATACTCCAGCAGGTGATCAAGGCGCTGCATGAGATGCCCAAAGATAAGATTTTTCATAATAACGGATCGATTTTTAAGTTTCAAAGAATTTAAATTTTTTAATCAAAAATATGTTAATACCACAATAAAAATCATTCATGAGTCCAAACAGTACTTTGCAGTGCCTCAAGATCATATTCTAAATAAATTTATAAATATTTGTTCCAGACAACACGCGTCACGTTCGACATAGAATATACATATATGTACGCTATAGCAATCAACTGAAAATTACGGCGACCGACTACTAACACAAAGTCAAACAAAAGCCTAAATCAAAATTTGCTATCAGCAATGTAAATTAGACTAATAAATATAAATAATATTCCTTTCTTAACTCACCCCTGAATTTATTAATTTCTGCAGCTATAAGTCTATGCCTGTACCGCATGTGAGTTTAGTTGAGTCTCCCACACAAATTGCACGCTCAGGTGCCGCCAAATGAGCAGTGCTCAGTCGGCAGATATTTCCGCTAGATTTACTTGCCCGAAGGCGATTGCTGGGCTACTTTTCTAGTGTCTCCTAGTGCTGCTGGCGGCTACTAAGAACGCCTAGCAACGCTAAATGATTGTCTAGTGTCGCTGGCTGCTACTGATGGTGCCTTGTATTGCTGGTTCCGACTATAGCAATCTCTAAAAGCGCTTGCTGCTGTTTGCTAATAGGGATTCCTAGTTATGCTGGCTGCTACTGGAAATGTCTAGTGTTCATGGCTTAATAACTTTTTTAATTAAATGTTTTAACATATCTTTACCACAATTATTCCAACTGTTGATATAAACGTAGAACCCGTCGTTCAAGTGAAAATGTCATTTTGCAATCATAGCCTATGCTTATACAGTATAAGGAAACGCCTGAAATTCTTAAAAGATAGTTTTCTAATATTTTTAGTAACAAGTGAACTTCTGTGGTGTTCAGGCAAAGTAAGAAAAGGTTTGGTGGGAAAGCGAAAATTTTCAGAAAGAAATGAAAGATAACTCAATTTATAAAGCCATAAAATTTGCCTAATATGAATTCATGGCAACACTAAATACTAGGCTAAACAAAAATTTAATTGATAATAAATTAAATTATTGTTTTCTGTATTTTGGAGTTAGTCATTATATGAATCATTTCAACAGCAGACATAATATCTGATAGAGGTTAAACTATCATCCGAAAAAATTTCTTCTGTCGTAATAAATTTTGTGCTTCTGGTTCTCAGGTTCAAGCGATAGACGAAATTGTGCTTCGAAAATTGAATGATGAAGAAGGGATTGTGATGACAAAGAATGTATGATGGAGTTTTTGTGGCGCCGATCGTCTATTAATTATCGCCGTATTACTGATCGCTTAGTCCTCGTTTAATCGTCAGCTGGCAAACAAAGTCCCTTGAATAAGTAAAATTAAAAATTTATGAGTTAAATCCAAGCATGGATGTGTAAGTGCGGTGAATCCACCATAGAATCACTGTGTCGAATTAGTTATGATTATATATTGGCATTTTCCAAAATTTTGGAATTTAAATAGAAAAATATTCAACTATATTCGTGATAGAGGTCGTATTAGGATTTAGAATATTTTAGTTTATTTTTATATTTATATTAAGGAGTCGGCTTACCGTAAAACCAAGGCTCTAACAAAAATAAGAATTTCCAGATAATATTATCTTCAATTACTTACGAGTTGCGGTTAGGTAACTTTCCCAATTCATATGTGTGCCAAATAATTAAAAATTATTAAATTATTCACAACAATGAAGAAAATAGTAATTGAAATAATGATACCTACATTGTCAGTAATCATAACAATAATTACTGGCTGTTATTTCAGAGCTCATCACGCAGTAATAATAACAATAATTACTGGCTGTTATTTCAGAGCTCATCACGCAGTAATCAGAGCAGAAGAGCAACAGTTGGTTAAGCAATCGCCGCCCAGGCTCCGCAATCGCCGCTAAGAAATGCAAAGGCATCTCGAGCTGTCGGGCCGCGGCGCTGCAATCCCGAGACACGCAGACTTTCAATCTCGCGCCGCTGCGGTAAACCTGCAGTTACGCGTGTGTTAAATGNTGCAATCCCGAGACACGCAGACTTTCAATCTCGCGCCGCTGCGGTAAACCTGCAGTTACGCGTGTGTTAAATGCGGATACGGGAGTGTAGAATGTATTACGCGTTTGTTAAATGCGGCTACGGGAGTGTAGAATGTATTACGCGTGTGTTAAATGTGGCTACGGGAGTGTAGAATGTATTACGCGTGTGTTAAATGTGGCTACGGGAGTGTAGAAGTTGGTTCCAGAGTGTAGAATATGGTTGCGCTTGTGTGCGGAATATGGCTGCGCGCGTGAGATGTAGTTTGGCGTATGTGGGATGTGGTTATGCGCGAGCGGAATGAGGTTAACTCACATGTGGGAAAGATTTACGTACTTACACAGTAAATCTTTACGTTACGTAAAGATTCACTGGATTACGGAGAAATAACTGAGTTGGATGGAGGCATAACTGCTGGTGTTGTGTGTTCGGGATGTTAAGAAATTAATAGCGAAACGTAGACTAATTACAGTATAAGTAATAGAAAATTGTAGCGGTGCTGGAAGAGCAATTACGGTAAGTAAGATCATGTCCATAAAATTTATTCGAGGTAGTGAAAAAATGATAAGTTTAGAATTGGAAGAAATTGCGTTTCAGTATATTTCATGATTTTGGAGAAAGTTTTAAAGAAATTTGTAATTCCCCCTTCAAGTTGAATGATATTCTAAATATTCATTTTCTACGAATATAATTTCCTCTAATATCCAGTTACATCTTACATTTCTATGAGCTTTAAAATGCTTTTGGAACATTTTTTTGACCCTAAAAGTTGCCAGGGAAACAGAAAGCGGCATTTTTCACAGCTCTTACCCCGCCATTGTGAGTCCTTGAACAGCTTGCTGAAATTCCCCAAAATGGAAAGAAATGCCCTAGTAAATGAAAAAAAATCTTTTAAGAAGCAGGAAAAATTTCCCCAAAACGGGGAGGAATTTCTGCGAAGGTATCCACGCTATTCCTTCTTAACCGCCACATTGATATGCAAATGAGGGACAAATTCGCCGAGGACACAAGAGGGGAGGTGGCCCTCGGCTCGCTATGTCTCCGTGGGCCATTGATTTGTTGTGAAGATAACGAGCCACGGTAGTAAGATAGTGCGAAAGATAACGTTGCTGGGGTGCTATCTTAAAAATAACGAGCAACAGTAGCAGGATAACGCTAAAGATAACGCTGTTAAGTTCTATCTCAATGACAAGAAAACAAAGGGAGTTGAATAGTACTGAAGATAGCAGCTGTTGTGGTACTATCTTGAAAATTTGAGCAATAGTAGCAGGATAGGGCGGCTGATAGAGGCTGTTGTGGTACTTGGAGATTACGAGCAATAGTAGCAGGATAGGGCGGCTGATAGCAGCTGTTGATTACTAGCAATAGTAGCAGGATAGGGCGGCTGATAACGGTTGTTGATCTACAATCTTGAAGATATAAATGAATTATGGTGGATTTTATATGGGCCTTTGTTATACTATAATGAAGAGAAAAGAGAATGTTGGTAAGATGATGCAGGCTATCTCTTCCGTCTTTGCACTATCTTATATATAATAGGAAGTAAGGTAATTTATTGACATGACATTTAGCATACATCGCTTATTGCAACAACATGAAAATTACTTTGTTTCGTAGCTGAATTGCCATAAGTAGGGGTTATTCATAAGATTATTGTATGAGCACGTTTACTTGTATTCATATAATTCTTTTTTTTAATGATACGGTTTCAAATCTTTAATTTGTTTCTGGATGTACATTCTTCTACGCGTATTGTTTGGTCAACCAATTAAAGCGTTCTAAGGAATGTAACTTCCATGGAAATTTCGATAAAATAAATCATAATTTCAAATTTAAATAAATAATTGGTGACATAAATTTCTAATTTTTGTTACCAATTCAATATTAGAAATGAAAAATGAAATGTCCTCGAACAAACCAGTCATTTTACATGGCTGTAAAATGACATTTGCAATTTACAATAAAAAATCGAAAAAAGCTTGGACCAGATTATCCAACTTCTTGTTGAATTGAAATATCAGGCGTGACTGTACCATCTTTTTAAAAGAACAACGCTTTTTCTATTGATGGTCTCCAAATGGGAGAGAAACAAGCGGTATTTATTGTCCCCAGTAAAATGGATGAGGGCAAAAGCATGCAAACGAAGTAAAAGACTCATTAGATCCCTCATTTTTGCCCGCTCTGAGGGAGGAAAAATCTTCAAAGTGTTTTTTAATTAGGGATGGGCTGCATCGTTCGTCTTCATCTGTTCAGCGTTGACCCTTTAGGGAGGGAGCAGGCGCACGTCCTCCCCCCACCAATTAATGAGGGCGACTGGCAGTCTTGCTTAGGCCGGAGCTCAGGCTGAGTAGTTTGGGCCATCCGCTTCATTTAGGGCATCCTTTAAATGAGCCTTAAATTAGCATAGCGTTTACTCGGAACGTGGGCGAAATGACAGAGAACGTTCCGTCCGCTCCGTTCAACACTTTAATTAAAATCCAATCGTGCGATCCTTATTATAGGAATTGTTTTTGAAAAATTCATATATGGTGATTGTTATGCAGGGAGTAGCAGTCATTCTGTGCATGGTGGTCACCGGGCTAATGGAAGTTACTCTGTAAATGGCAAATACCCTTTAAATGGTAATTACTCGATGAATAGTAGTTGCCTCGTAAATGG